GTTTACCTAATAAGGAAGATGAGTCTAATGTAAAACCTTGGACTACTAATAATTTTACTGAAAGAATGAATAAAACTATTGAAAAAAGATATTCAGGCACCCAAACAGTATTAACTTTCATTGAACGTCTTTTTTCGGTAATTCTCAGTAACTTTTCTCGATTACCTGTGAGCTATCTAGTTTTAGTTTAGCGTATATTGTTTCTAATATTCAACACGTAATATGTCAATTTTCCTATAATATGTTTTGTTTACCTTAGTTCGTACATGATTGTACTACGTCAAATGATCTGTGTCTCAGGGTTTGTTTGAATCCCCAAAAATCGCAAATCTATCCTTTTTGATTCACGGGGTCCATTTTTTTTGATTCATCAGATGATCGACAAAAAAGGGTCCATTTTTCATAAGGTTAGGTTACACGACATTCATGTTACATATGTTACATGAACTTGCGTATTCGATTGATATAAACTAACCAATCAAATCATTAGATCGAACATATGGTATAAAAGAAGCAAAATTGTGATTAGTAAGAAACGCTTTCTTTTTTCCCCAATAAAAATAGAAAAAAAAACACTTACCTTGTAAAGCGTAATTAGAAAACAGCCCGCTGAGTGGAGATAAAAGGTGTTGTCACGTTAAATAGAAGCTAAGAAGGAGTTGAGGTGTTGGTAGTAGAAATAGAAAAGGTGTTATACATTGAGTGAATTTGTTAAGTGAAGAAAGGTAGCGTGCGTTGAGTAAAGAGCATTGATTTAAAAGACAAAGGTGCCGCCAGCGCGTTGAGTGAAAAAAAAGGTATTGTTAATAAACTGCTCAAAGCTATGTGTGTTAAAATAGAGAAATTGGAAACTTACCAATACTTTTGTTACAAGACAGACGAAATAAAAGTGCATCAGTATGTTGAATTAAAATAATAATAAAAAAAGAAATCGTTAGTAATCTATTTAAAGCTATGTGTGTTAAAATAGAGAAATTGGAAACTTACCATACTTTTGTTACAGGGCAGACAAAATAAGAGGTGCCGCCAGTGCATTGAATTAAAATAATAAAAAAAAGGTATCGTTAATAATATATTTAAAGCTATGTATGTTAAAATAGAGAAATTAAAAACTTACCAATATTTTTGTTACAGAGCAGACGAAATAGAGTATGCTAGTGCGTTGAATTAAAATAATAATAAAAAGAGGTATCGTTAGTAATCTATTTAAAGCTATGTACGTTAAAATAGAGAAATTAAGAACTTACTAATACTTTTGTTACAGGGCAGACAAAATAGAGTGCGCCAGTGCGTTGTTTTTTTTTTTTTTTTAAAAAAAAGGTATCATTAGTAATCTACTTAAAGCTATGTGCATTAAAATAGAGAAATTAAGAACTTACCAATACTTTTGTTATAGGGCAGTTGAAATAAAGAGGTGCCGCCAGTGCATTGTATTTAAAAAAAAAAAAAGGTATCGTTAGTAATCTACTTAAAGCTATGTACATTAAGACTATAAAATAGAGAAATTAAAAACATATATATTTTGTTATAGAACAGGTAACTGAATACAGCAATGTCTATGTTGCATCAAATAAATTCAGATGGAAGTATTGGTTTACCATTTGGACGTGCTGTTGAGAACTATATTTTATCACTACTAATTGTAAAAGGTGCACGCTTCAAATGTCAAAGCCGGCAAAAATTAAATCAAGCTGTTCAAAGAGATTTTGTTGTTTTTAAACGTGAAGAAGGTGCAATTGATTTTAAAGGATGGACTACGATTACTGGTATGACAAAGTCGATGAATTGCTTGGATGACAGGCTTGAACTAACAGAAAAGGGACAAAGTTATGTAAATCAGATTCAGCAGGGTCTAGTTCCAGATTTTTGTGTTTGGCATTGGGTTTTTTATTGTGCAGGTGATGGAAATTGTCAGAGAGTATGTGGCAGATTTGAAAACTGTTTACCTAATTGTCCAAACTATAAAATGAAAAATAATTTAAAAAATGGCAATGATATGCATAAATGCAAAGTTCGTATAATTACCAAAGTTATGCTTAGTATGGTTAGGGAAAGATTTCCTATTAAATTATATATAGAAGGTCAGCATATTCCTATAGTACCGGACAGCAAGAAACATCCAATCCTTAATAGGGGCGCCAAATTTGTTACAGGTAACACAACTTATGATTGGACAATTTTTATGCAAATCAATTACGTGTAATATCAATGATTGGTCAATTAACCTATAAACTAAATTAAATACTTACGAGGTTATACAATACAATACCTGCAGTAAAAATCTTTACTCGAGTATTAACGTTAATAAATTATCTGGTTATTCAAGTATATTATAACAATATTGATATCTACTCGAGTACAAGAAAGATTCAAATTTGCTACGTATAGTGAATTTAGCCCTGAAGAGTTGATATTAATAAGCAGGTTTTTACTCCACAGTCTCAAATATGTATATTGATATACATTTACTTGCTATTAAATAATGATTATAGTCGATTTAAAATTAATCCAATAGGTTTATTATAGCGCTTTGCAAAAAATATGATTTTGTGATATTTGTAATTGTGAGAATTTATAAAATTCTAAATTGCCTATCAGTTATATTTTTCATTCATATTTGTTCGAAGTCTTTAAAAAAATACCACAAGAATTGGCTAATTTTTGATTTGCAAATATTACATCTTTTGCAAACTGCCATAACTATTTTGAAAATAAGTGAGCTTAAAAAATCCAAATAAAAAAATAATTGGCATACCCGATAATTTTAATAATATTTACTGGTAAATGATTATGCAAATTTATACTTAATAAATTGGGACGAGGGTAAAATAATTATACTATATTTAATCTCTCAGAAATTTTATTAATCAATATTAAACATTTTTATTAGTTATTACTATTTAGTAACAATACGCATACGGTATATTTTTAAAGATTTAAATCACTAAATCCTTAATAATCAATTTTATTGATGATAATATAAAATAATACAAAAAAATTACATATATCAGTTAAAAATATTTAATATTTTAAGATAAAAATAAAAAAAAATATAATGAATATTCACAATTTTGGAAGTAAGCCAGATAAGTAACCCCCCTTATTTTAAAAACTCATTAACCCGATTCATAATTTCTTCGTTAATTGTTCTATGTTTTCTACTTTTTTTAACAGCATACTCTGCCACTTTTCCTGTCAATTCATGACGATAAGCATCCATCCATCTATATGAAAGTCTTGCAAAAGCGCGGATTTGTTCAATAGAAATGGAATCAAAAGCTTCATAAATTGTTTCTCTAGTTTTTGAGAGTGAATACTCACAATGAGATCGTGTATATCTCTTCGCCATTCCCCAATACATTTCTATATAGTTGAACTTCAGGTGAAATTTAGAATAAAATAGAACTTTATGTCCATGAGATTCGATTTCTTGTTGAATCCGACCATGCTGTTCAAGAAAGTCTGGTTGATTTGACATTAAACGACGTGCACAGCAATCAATAACATTAGGATCTACCTCTTTTTTTTTTGCATGAAATACACTTGAGTGCCATTCCATCTCGCCATAACCCTCTTTTACTTAAAACCCATTGAATTCCTTTTGGTTGCCCATGTAAATTTATATACTTTTTTTTTTTTTATTATAAACAAAATGATCTTCCTCAATAATCATTGATTGACGATCACCATTCCACATTGTATCCCGCATTTTCGGAACTGTTCCTCCTGGACCAAGATTCATCTTTGAAGCAACAAGGGCATCTTCGGCAAAAGCTTTGTGAGATGTGGCATTATCAAAAACAAACACACCCACACATTCTGGATGTGTTCTCTCGAAAATATCAACAGCCTGTACAACTTGT